TCGTGTCCCACCAGGGGTCCTGCCTGTCCCCATTGCTTTGGTGTTCCCCCTGCAGCTCTGTGAAGACCCAGGAGAGGCAGCAGCCATGAAGATCCTGTTCCTGCTCTTCCCCCTGATCCTCCTGCTGGTCCAGGGTGCTGCAGGTGAGAAGGGAAGAGGGGAGATGGGGGAAAGTGTCAGCCTGCAATTCAGTGTCCCTGGAAGTGAACTTATTTGTGGGAATGTTGAGAAAGTTTCAGGGGTCAGAGGGGTTTCTCAAGTGAGTTTCCAACTGGACACCTTTTTGGGATGAAGAGATCCCAAGGAAATAGACAGGGATGTGGGATGTGAGGAGTCCCTGCCTGCCAGGAGGACTGCAAGCACATCCTGCTCTCCTAGATTATTGCTGTAATAGCTGTGTGTGCTTTTGTCCGTGGAAACAGGAAGTTCAGCTCGATGCAGGCGCCGAGGAGGATTCTGCAGCTTTGATGGGTGCAGCTCCCCCTCAAAACCTATTGGAAAGTGTTCAGCAGTCAGTGTGTGCTGCAAAAGGTAAGGACCAGATCCTAGTCTGAAGAAAGACCTTCTTTCATTTTTTTTCCTGAGGGATCTCTTAGATATTTCATTCTAATATAGAATTAGTGGAAGTGACCTAAAAGGGAAGGTACAAGCTCTTGAGAGGTTTAGAGCTGCCCTGAGAGGAACTGCAGCAGCCTCAGGCCAGCCAGGGCCTCCCACTCACCAAAGCCAACAAAGAGGAAAACATTCCCTGTCCTTGGGCAGCATGGAGGACATGATCCATGTCTTGCTGCATCTGCACAGACCTGGAGCCAGGGCTGCCAGCACAGAGATACCCCAGGCCCAACCTGTCTGCACTAAGGACTGTACCACAGCTCCCCTGAGCCTGACTGCTGCACTCACCCTGGGCATTGCAGGGCAGGGGAGACAGTGGCAGGGAATGTTACACACGGTGATGTGATTGTCTGTTTTCTTCTTGCAGTCGCTGGGTTTGAAACCCTGAAATTCCCAAGCAGGACATGACCCTCACTTCTGGCTGCTGGACCCATCTGCTGATGTCCCCATGTGCTGATGTCCCCTCCCGTGGCTGCCTGTGCCGTGCCCAGCTGGGCTGACAGCAGCAGTGGCAGCTGCTCCTGCTGGCTGCTGCTGGGCTGGAGCCCTGTGGTGCCAGCCCCGCTGTCTTTGGGGCAGGGGCTGCTTTTCCCGGCTTGAATAAAGACGAGCACTTTGGCATTGCAGGGCTGGGCCGTGTGTGCGTGTCCTGCTGCTGGAGGGCTGCTGTGCCTCTGCCTCTGGGGCTGGCCCTGCCTTGGTGGCAGCAGAAGGCCCTGGGCATGGTGCTGGGGCTGAGCAGCGCGTGTGTCCCTGGGGATGCTCCTGCCTGGCCGTGCTTTGGGGACGCTGAGCCCGGCAGTGCCTGCAGGGCCAGCCTGGCTGGGGTGTCTGTGGTGGAGCTGACTGCAGATGCTCCTTCCTGTGAAGCAAAAAACATGTCCTGCTTTTTATAGGCACAGACTTCTTTATTTTCTCAGTTCCCTACTTCCCTGTCACTCACTTGGAGGTGGGCTATGGTCCTTTCTTGTTGGGTTGTTCGGCACAAGTGAGGATGACCTCAAGGGAGGCACCATCCAGCTGCTGGTGGGAAAAGAGCTCTCTGGGTTTTCTTCAGGGGTGTCCCATATGCCCACATGGAGCAGGACGTGGCTCCATCTGAGAATCTCAAGCTCCACATCTGTGTTTGTGTATTCATTGTGCACACCCTGGCAATCCCCTCTGTTGTCTGGGCACACCTGAGACTGGCCAGATCCCAGGCAGGGCCTTGCCTTCTGTTCCAAGTCCACCTGGACTCTGCAGAGCTCTGGGAGCTGTTGGAGTGTCCCTGCAGCCCCAGCAGTGCCTCTGGGGCTGGCAGGGCAGCATATCCAGCCCAGGGTTGTCCCTGGACTGCCAGTTGTCCCTTGTCTCCAACAACCAAGGGAAGTTTCCCAGTGGAATTTGGGTGATGTTTATGGCACTTGATTGGGACACACTCAGGACCTCTCCTCAGCAGCCTTCAGCAGAGATTGTCCAACATATCTGATGCCTTCATCCCTGCACAAGGCAGGACTCTGAGGATGAAGCAGGCTCTCCCTTCCTCCCTTTTCCTCCTCCTCTCCATTGGGACTGCTGTGCACAGTGCTGTGGACCTGGAAAGATATGGGATAGAAACCATGGTGATAGGGGCAAAACCTCATCTCTAAAATAGCCACAGCTTTGTTACAAGGTCCCAGCTGCAGTCCCAGGTATGAAACCTGCAGCAGGAGCCATTCTTTAAAGGTATGGGACAGTGAGGAACCTCTCAGTAGCACAGCCAGGAGAACTCACATGTGGCTCATGATCTCAATAGAGTAAAAAAAAAAATACCTGTACCAAAAGGCTTGGCTTTTTCTTTTTTCTTCTTCATTCTGTTTATAGGAAAATTCAACATCCATAGCACAGTTTCACTGTAGATCACTTAAATCCTCTAATTTTTTCATCCATTTAATTAATTACTGTTGTATCTGCCACTCCCTAGAACATATACAAGATGAGAGCACATAGGACAGTCACTTGAGTACTCAAGATGTCCAGCCCAAAGGTTCCTTTCTCTGTTTCCCCTCTGCACAGAGAAAAGAAGGTTTTGGTTTCCTCTTCTGACACCTCTGAGAAGGATTCCCAACCCAGGGCCTTGTGTCATCCTGCCTTGTGTAAGAATTCCTTGTGGTACTGTGGTTTACTGGACACATCCAGGGACACAGACACAGACGCTGTTCACTGGAAACCAGCACCAACTTTCTGCTCTGGCATAGAGCGGAACCTTTTCCTCTTGTCTTCAGAAAACCTTCCCAGTAAACCATCAATGTGAGATTACAGTTGGGCCCTCTGTTTCTGTTGAGCGTGCAGAATCCATTTCCTGTGTTTTTCTCAATTGTCACCTTGTCACTGTGACTTCATATCTCAGGGTTGTGCAGGGAAAAATGATGAGGCACCAAGTTCCACCGCCAAATCTCCAGAAACTCAGACTCTGCAATTCAAGGGCAATCAGATTGCTCTGCTAAACGCCTGGAGAGGGAGATGCTAACTTGGGCACATGGCACAGACCCCTCCTGCCCAGCAAGGATTGTCACCAGAGCTGGGCTGCTGTTGGTGGCTGCGCCCACCAGTTGTTGTACCCATCCCAAAGATTTCCCTGCTGGCCCCACAGCCCGTTGCTGCTGTGCCGCGGGTGTCACAAGAGGTGTTGCGTGGGGACAACGGTGGCATTGATTGCAACAGCCCCAGGAGGCACCTCAGCCTCTGGCCCTGCAGCAGGGAGGGACCGGGGCAGCCCCAAAACCCATGAATTGACTCTGCAGGGTGGGTCTGCACTCACAGGAATGCTGAGACCACTGGCCTTTGGAAGTGAAGAATGTAGTAACACAAATTCTTCTTAGTTGCCAGAGAGAAGACACCCAGCTTTTGCCCTGTTGGGAGATATTTATAAACATTTTCAGGTTGTAGCGGAAGGGACCACTTGGAGAAATCACCTCTGGCAGGAGCTGTACAGCCAACCTGGGAGAACTTTTTCCCCTGAAGGCATGCTGAGGTCTCCTGGGTCTGCAGGGTCAGGCTCCTCCAGAAGGGATGTGGAAAGGACAGAGGCTGTGGGCTGGTGCAGGAGTTGGTGCTGTGGGCTTGGAATAAGGGGTGGGGGTGGGGGGGTGGAAGTGAGCAGGGTTGGCACTGCAGACCTCAGCTCAAGGGCAGAAGAGGAAGATGTAGATCAAAGTCCACAGTGTGGTGGGAATTCCAGGATATCTGGGATGGGTTGGGTGAGAAGCAAGGCAGGGCCGAGCAGAGAGCCACGAGCACGGCCATGCACACAGAGCCATGGCTGTTGGGGGCAAGGGACACCCATAATCAGCAGGACCAGTATAAGGAACCTGAACCCCAGAGGGAGCATCTGCAGTCAGCTCCACCACAGGCACCCCAGCCAGGCTGGCCCAGCAGGCACTGCCGGGCTCAGCGTCCCCAAAGCACGGCCAGGCAGGAGCATCCCCAGGGACACACGCGCTGCTCAGCCCCAGCACCATGCCCAGGGCCTTCTGCTGCCACCAAGGCAGGGCCAGCCCCAGAGGCAGAGGCACAGCAGCCCTCCAGCAGCAGGACACGCACACACGGCCCAGCCCTGCAATGCCAAAGTGCTCGTCTTTATTCAAGCCGGGAAAAGCAGCCCCTGCCCCAAAGACAGCGGGGCTGGCACCACAGGGCTCCAGCCCAGCAGCAGCCAGCAGGAGCAGCTGCCACTGCTGCTGTCAGCCCAGCTGGGCACGGCACAGGCAGCCACGGGAGGGGACATCAGCACATGGGGACATCAGCACATGGGGACATCAGCTGATGGGTCCTGCAGACAGAAGTGAGGGCCAAGTCCTGCTTGGGAGATTCAGGGTCTTAACCCCAGACACTGCAAGAAGAAAACAGACAATCACATCACCAGGTGTGACATTCCCTGCCACTCTCTCCCCTGCCCTGCAATGCCCAGGGTGAGTGCAGCAGTCAGGCTCAGGGGAGCTGAGGTGCAGTCCTTAGTGCAGACAGGTTGGGCCTGGGGTATGTCAGTGCTGGCAGCCCTGGCTCCAGGTCTGTGCAGATGCAGCAAGACCTGGATCATGTCCCTGGTGCTGCCCAAGGACAGGGAATTTTTCCCTCTTTGGTGGCTTTCGTGAGTCCTCTCTAGAACCTGAACGAGCCCCCTGAGACTGGATGAGAGTGGGGAGGCCCTGGCTGACCTGGGCCTGCTGCAGCCCCAGTGAGGGGAGATCAAACCCTCAAGGACTGTTCTCTCCCTTGTTGTGCCTCTCTCTCAAATCATAAATGCAGGACAGTATTTATCATGTTTTGTCAAGAAAGAAGTCAATAACAGATCTTTCTGAGGAAGAAGGAGGAAAATCTTTCTTCAACCAAGGATCTGGGCCTTACATTTTGCAGCATGCAATGCCTCGTGCACATCTTCCCACAGGAGCTGAACCACGAGGGCAAGAACGCCTGAAGCAGAATCCCCGTAGTCTGCGGCATTGATCGGGGTTACCTGTTCTCATGGAGAAAGAAACACACAGGACAATTAAAGTAATATTCTGAGATGTCAGGTTGTGGTTATAGACAGGCTGATGCTCTCCAGTGTGGGCCAAGGCCAAGAGAAGGTCTCAGATCCAATCCTCCCTCAGCCACATCTCCAATTACAATGTGTCTCACCAGGAAGGTCCCTGCTCCCCCAAACTGAAGTCACTCCAGAGCAGAGAGTGGAGGGGACCAGCGTGAGGTTGAGGAAAAGCCTGCAGGCTTCATTGCCACCTCTGCCTGGACCAGCACACTGGCAATCAGGGATTTGTCACTTTCCACATCCCTGACCCACAGAAGAAGCCGGGATTCTGTTTCCATGAGCTCTCTCAACCCCAAATCAGTGTCCATCTGGAAAGTCACTCAAGAAAATCCTTTCACCTCAATCCCCTCTTACCGTCCCATCATTCCCACAATCACGGTCACTTCCAGGGACACTGAATTCCCACTGGTGCAGGCTGACACTTCCCCCATCTCCCCTCTTCCCTTCTCACCTGCAGCACCCTGGACCAGCAGGAGGATCAGGGGGAAGAGCAGGAACAGGATCTTCATGGCTGCTGCCTCTCCCGGGTCTTCACAGAGCTGCAGAGGGGACACCAAGACAATGGGGACAGGCAGGACCCTGAGTGGGCAGGATTCCAGAGAGAGACCCCACACTCACCTCCCTGACAAAGGCTTTGGTGTTCAGGCAGCAGCAAACCCAACAGCAATGGCTGTGTCCAGATGCCCCTGGGGCCAGGGAATGCTGCTGTGCCCCAAACTCGCTGGGTTTATAGCAGTGCTGGTGGGTGGGACAGGCCCCAGTTGCTGCAGGCACAAGAGCCCTGGGCCAACCCGGGAGTGCCCCATGGCTGTGGGGTGCTGGGGCTGCCCCTGGTCCCTCCCTGCTGCAGGGCCAGAGGCTGAGGTGCCTCCTGGGGCTGTTGCAATCAATGTCACCGTTGTCCCCACGCAACACCTCTTGTGACACCCACGGCACAGCGGCAGCGGGCTGGGCAGGGGAGGGATGGGATGGACGAGAGAGGCGGGTTGGTGTTGGGAAGAGGAGAAATGAGGAAATGATCTCTCATTTTCTCTGTTCTATACTCAGCGTGGGATGTCAAGATCTGACTGAACCTTGCAATCGTTCTCAGCTTTGTACAGTGAGAGGAAAGGTTCCTCTCACTTCCAGGGCTCTGTTGGGGAGTTTGGAAATGAGATGGAGAAAATAAAAGTTCCTGCACTCCCTCTTACCCTTTACTTACCCGCCTGTGCCCTTGGTAACTCCTGAGCTCATTTTCCACACCTCCATCAGTCTTGCTGCAGATGCTGTGGGCCAAGGAGCCCCTGGGGTGGGGGAACAGCACTTCACTGCTGAGGTAAAGGGGGCTTGAGGTAGCAGCCCCAGAGGCAGTGCCAGGACAGCTGACCACAGATGAAGGAAATGCCAGGCTAAGCAGGGATGGTGTGAACATCCCCACCAAATCCTGCAGTTCTGGAAAGCAATGGCAGTGCAGATATTTTTGGGGTCAGTCTCTTCTCCCAGGTAACAATTGACAGGACCAGAGGAAATAGTCTCAAATAGCACCACAGAAGGATTAGACTGGGTATTAGGAATCATTTCTCTGCAGAAATGGTAATGGTTCTTTGTTACTGCCCAGGGCAGTGGTAGAGTCACCAATCCGGCAGGGAATTTAAAAGCTGTGTGGATGCGACACTTGTGCTCATGGTTTAGCGTTGGGGTTGGCAGTGCTGGGGGAATGGTTGGACTCGATACTCTTAGAGGTCTTTTCCAACATCAAGAATTTGATGGGTGTGATCCTGGAGAGGGAAAGTCTCCAGTGAACCTGGCAGGGTCCCCAGCTGCTCCCCAACAACTGTGTAGATGGCACACACAGGTATGGAACCAGAGAGGGAATCAAATGCCTGAGGTTTCCTTTGCACACAGGGAGAGGCCCCTGCCTTTGAGGGGGCAGAGCATTGTCACTCCAGACCACCTGAGATGGGCAGAGACACCAGAACATTCTGCTTACTCCATGCACGCAAACAAAGTTGGATATTTCTACAGCAAAATGGGACCTTTTCCACCTGTCACCCAGACGAGGACTTGAATGGTTTCCTCCTCCTCCTGTCTGCTGGGATGGGGTGTGGAGAAACAGAGCCACAGCTGGGAGGGCTTTGGTGCTGGAACAGGACAAGGAGGAGCAGCAGGGACAGCTCCGGTGGGTCGCCATGGCCAGGTGTACTCAATCCCTCAGCTCAGCTCTGCACGCGAAGCTGTGGCTGTAAGGGATAAGGGACATCTGGGTCTGGCAGGACTAGCACAGGGAACTGGCACTGCCGGGCTCAGCGTCCCCAAAGCACGGCCAGGCAGGAGCATCCCCAGGGACACACGCGCTGCTCAGCCCCAGCACCATGCCCAGGGCCTTCTGCTGCCACCAAGGCAGGGCCGGCCCCAGAGGCAGAGGCACAGCAGCCCTCCAGCAGCAGGACACGCACACACGGCCCAGCCCTGCAATGCCAAAGTGCTCGTCTTTATTCAAGCCGGGAAAAGCAGCCCCTGCCCCAAAGACAGCGGGGCTGGCACCACAGGGCTCCAGCCCAGCAGCAGCCAGCAGGAGCAGCTGCCACTGCTGCTGTCAGCCCAGCTGGGCACGGCACAGGCAGCCACGGGAGGGGACAGCAGCACATGGGGACATCAGCACATGGGTCCAGCAGCCAGAAGCGAGGGCCAAGTCCTGCTTGGGAATTTCAGGGTTTCAAACCCAGCCTCTGTAAGAATAAAACAGACAATCACATCACCAGGTGTAACATTTCCTGCCACTCTCTCCCCTGCCCTGCAATGCCCAGGGTGAGTGCAGCAGTCAGGCTCAGGGGAGCTGAGGTGCAGTCCTTAGTGCAGACAGGTTGGGCCTGGGGTGTCTCAGTGCTGGCAGCCCTGGCTCCAGGTCTGTGCAGATGCAGCAAGACCTGGATCATGTGCCTGGTGCTGCCCAAGGACAGGGAATGTTTCCCTCTTTGGTGGCTTTGGTGAGTAGGGAGACCCTGAGACTTCTGCTGCCCCACTCAATGAAGCTCCAAAACCCACAAGGGCTTTTCCTTCTCTTTTGGACCTCTTAGACTAATTATAAAAACAGGAGAGATTTTATCAAGTGTTGGCTATCATGTAATTTTTAATAGATCCCATTGTGTAAAAAGGAGGAAACTCTTCTTCAGGCAGTGATCTGGTCCTTACCTAAGGCAGCACACATGGTATGGTGTACATCTTCCAACAGGGGTTGCAGGGGGGCGGCAAATTCCAACTGTGCAGTATCCACCTCTTCTCTTGCATAAAACTCTATTTCCTGTTCTCATGGACAAAAGCATATGAAAACCAATTACAGCAATAATAGTATGAATAATCCTAATAACAATCATAATCCTAATTATAATCCTAATTGAAATCATCATGCACTCAGCTGATGGATATGAAGTGTCACCTTTGTGGCCCAGGGAATGCTCCCATCCAAACCATCCTCCACCCTCCTGGGGCTCTCTGCCATTCTAATGCATGGCAAGAGACTCCCAAACAGGAAGAGCTGGGTGCAGGCTTGGAGCCTGAAACCTTCCTGACTTACAGAACAAGGCAGGATTCTATCTCCATGGGATTTGTCCTCCCTAAATCGTTGTTGAGTTCAAAATGCATTTGAGAAACTCCTTTGATTTCAGTCCTCCTTTACATTCTCATCATTACCACAATCATGGACACTTCCAGGGACACTGAATTCCCACTGGTGCAGGCTGACACTTTCCCCCATCTCCCCTCTTCCCTTCTCACCTGCAGCACCCTGCACCAGCAGGAGGATCAGGGGGAAGAGCAGGAACAGGATCTTCATGGCTGCTGCCTCTCCCGGGTCTTCACAGAGCTGCAGAGAGGACACCAAAGAATATTCTCCCAGCTCAGCTTGGCAGGGCACATCCCCAATTCCGGAGCATTCTCAGGATTCCTGGCAAGGACATTCCCCAGCCCCCCACTTGCTGACTCTGCCCTGGGCAGCACCAATCCAGCAGCTGCCAGAGGGCAGGGGACTGTCTTGGTGCCCGGAAATGGGAACAGAAATCAACCTTTGCAGCTACTGAAAGCCCGAAATGATGGGAAATCTCTGTACTGCTCTAGGAACAGTCTCTCCTTACTTTCCAAGGGAAAGCCTTCATTCAGGCAGCAAAGAAGATCCCGGTTCCTCCTGCAGTATCAAGGCACTTTTCCAGACTTTCCTGTCCTTGGGAAAACTCAATTTCACCTTCCACATGTTCTTAGCCTCTCCCATGCACACTTTTGTTGTCTTTCCAAAAAGAATCGCTGATGGCCAAATTTGACTAGCCCTGGGTACTTCCAGCACTTTGTGCTTTAGGAGATGCTGCTCTGCTGGGCTTTGAGCTGAGACCCTGAGTGGGCAGGATTCCAGAGAGAGAGCCCACACTCACCTCCCTGACAAAGGCTTTGGTGTTCAGGCAGCAGCAAACCCAACAGCAATGGCTGTGTCCAGATGCCCCTGGGGCCAGGGAATGCTGCTGTGCCCCAAACTCGCTGGGTTTATAGCAGTGCTGGTGGGTGGGACAGGCCCCAGTTGCTGCTGGCACAAGTGCCCTGGGCCAACCCGGGAGTGCCCCATGGCTGTGGGGTGCTGGGGCTGCCCCTGGTCCCTCCCTGCTGCAGGGCCAGAGGCTGAGGTGCCTCTGGGGCTGTTGCAATCAATGTCACCGTTGTCCCCACGCAACACCTCTTGTGACACCCGCGGCACAGCGGCAACGGGCCGGGTAGGAGAGGGATGGGATGGACAAGGCAGAGTGATTCATGCTGGGAAGAGGAGAAATGAGGAAAATATTTCCTTCTTTGTGTCCTCTGATTTTATCAATTCCATAAATACTCAGATTGGGATGGGGGAGATCAGACTGAATATTGCAAATGTGCTCAGCTTTGTACTGTGAGAGGAAAGCTTGATTGCCTCTCGTTTCATCTCAAAATCCTTCTCTGGGAAGCTTGTACAGAAGACGGATACAATAAGATTCCGGGTTAACAGAGGGGAAGGAAAGTCCATGGAAGCCAGGAATGATCTGAACATTGCCCACCACATTGTCCAGATCTGGAATGCGATGGCAGGGGAAGCTTTTTGGAGTTTGTCTCTTCTCCCTGGTAACAATTTACAAGACCAGAGGAAATGGTCTTGATTGTACCCAGGAAGGGTGAGATTAGGATTTGAAATCAACTTCTTCACTGAAAAGGCATTGAAGCACTGGCCCAGGCTGCCTAGGACAGTGATGGAGTCACCATCCCTGGAGGGATTTAAAAGCCGTGTAGATTTGGCACTCGGGGACATGGATTAGTGTTGGTCTTGGCAGTGCTGGGGAATGACTGGTCTTGGTGGTCTTGGAGGACTTTCCCAACATTAAAGACTCTGTGATTCTCTGGTTCTTGGAAGAGAAACATTCAGTGAAACAGACAGGGGCCCCCATTGCTCCGGTAAACAGGAGTATCTGGACAAAGACAGGTATTGAACCACTCAGGGAATGAAATGCCTGAGGTTTGCTGTGCACCCAGGGAGTGACCCCTGTGTTTGAGGGAGCAGAGCATTGTCACTCCAGACTGCCTTGGATGGACAGAGAGGAGCAGAGAACCTGTCTGCTCCCTGGGGGGAAACAAATTTGGACATTTGCAGGCCATGAACCCTTGGAGCAGTTTCCCATGTCACCCAGATGAGGATTTGCACAGTCTCATCCTCCTGCTCATGGCTGCTTGGATGGGGTGTGGAGCAGCAGAGCCACAGCAGGGAGGGCTTTGGTGCTGGAACAGGACAAGGAGGAGCAGCTGGGACAGCTCCAGTGGGGCACCACGGCCAGGTGTACTCAAGGGACACAGCCCACAGCACAGTTCTGCACATGAAACCATGGATGTTGGGGACAAGGGACATCTGGGACTGGCAGGACCAGCAGAGAGATCCCAATTCCCCAGAGGGAGCATCTGCAGTCAGCTCCACCACAGACACCCCGGCCAGGCTGGCCCAGCAGGCACTGCCGGGCTCAGCGTCCCCAAAGCACGGCCAGGCAGGAGCATCCCCAGGGACACACGCGCTGCTCAGCCCCAGCACCATGCCCAGGGCCTTCTGCTGCCACCAAGGCAGGGCCAGCCCCAGAGGCAGAGGCACAGCAGCCCTCCAGCAGCAGGACACGCACACACGGCCCAGCCCTGCAATGCCAAAGTGCTCGTCTTTATTCAAGCCGGGAAAAGCAGCCCCTGCCCCAAAGACAGCGGGGCTGGCACCACAGGGCTCCAGCCCAGCAGCAGCCAGCAGGAGCAGCTGCCACTGCTGCTGTCAGCCCAGCTGGGCACGGCACAGGCAGCCACGGCAGGGGACATCAGCACATGGGGACATCAGCACATGGGTCCAGCAGCCAGAAGCGAGGGGCATGTCCTGCTTGGGAATTTCAGCGTTTCAAACCCAGCCTCTGTAAGAATAAAACAGACAATCACATCACCAGGTGTGACATTTCCTGCCACTCTCTCCCCTGCCCTGCAATGCCCAGGGTGAGTGCAGCAGTCAGGCTCAGGGGAGCTGAGGTGCAGTCCTTAGTGCAGACAGGTTGGGCCTGGGGTGTCTCAGTGCTGGCAGCCCTGGCTCCAGGTCTGTGCAGATGCACCAAGACCTGGATCATGTCCCTGGTGCTGCCCAAGGATAGGGAATGTTTCCCTCTTTTGTGGCTTTGGTGAGTAGGGAGACCCTGAGACTTCTGCTGCCCCACTCAATGAAGCTCCAAAACCCACAAGGGCTTTTCCTTATCTTTTGGGCCTCTTAGACTAATTATAAAAACAGGAGAGATTTTATCAAGTGTTGGCTATCATGTAATTTTTAATAGATCCCATTGTGTAAAAAGGAGGAAACTCTTCTTCAGGCAGTGATCTGGTCCTTACCCAAGGCAGCACACACGGTATGGTGTACATCTTCCAACAGGGGTTGCACCGTGGCGGCAAATTCCAAGTGTGCAGTATCCACCTCTTCTCTTGCATAAAAGTGGATTTCCTGTTCTCATGGACAAAAGCATATGAAAACCAATTACAGCAATAATAGTATGAATAATCCTAATTGCAATCATAATCCTAATTATAATCCTAATTGAAATCATCATGCACTCAGCTGATGGATATGAAGTGTCACCTTTGTGGCCCAGGGAATGCTCCCATCCAAACCATCCTCCATCCTCCTGGGGCTCTCTGCCCTTCCAATGCACGGCAAGAGACTCCCAAACAGGAAGAGCTGGGTACAGGCTTGGAGCCTGAAACCTTCCTGACCTACAGATCAAGGCAGGACTCTATCTCCATGGGATTTGTCCACCCTACATCACTGTTGAGTTCAAAATGCATTTGAGAAACTCCTTTGACTTCAGTCCTCTGTTACATTCTCATCATTCCCACAACACGGTCACTTCCAGGGACACTGAATTCCCACTGGTGCAGGCTGACACTTTCCCCCATCTCCCCTCTTCCCTTCTCACCTGCAGCACCCTGGACCAGCAGGAGGATCAGGGGGAAGAGCAGGAACAGGATCTTCATGGCTGCTGCCTCTCCCGGGTCTTCACAGGGCTGCAGAGGGGACGCCAAGGGAATGGGGACAGGCAGGACCCTGAGTGGGCAGGATTGCAGAGAGAGACCCCACACTCACCTCCCTGACAAAGGCTTTGGTGTTCAGGCAGCAGCAAACCCAACAGCAATGGCTGTGTCCAGATGCCCCTGGGGCCAGGGAATGCTGCTGTGCCCCAAACTCGCTGGGTTTATAGCAGTGCTGGTGGGTGGGACAGGCCCCACTTGCTGCTGGCACAAGAGCCCTGGGCCAACCCGGGAGTGCCCCATGGCTGTGGGGTGCTGGGGCTGCCCCCTGGTCCCTCCCTGCTGCAGGGCCAGAGGCTGAGGTGCCTCCTGGGGCTGTTGCAATCAATGTCACCGTTGTCCCCACGCAACACCTCTTGTGACACCCACAGCACAGCGGCAACGGGCTGTGGGGCCAGCAGGGAAATCTTTGGGATGGGCACAGGAACTGGTGGGTGCGGGCACAGGCACCAATCCAGTCCTGGTGGAGCAGAATTCTTCTTTCACAGAATCATCTCTGCAATGTTTTGGGTTGGAAGGGACCTGAATGTTCATCTCTTTCCACCCCCTGCCATCAGCAGGGACAGCTTCCACTCTCCCAGGTTGCTCCAAATTCCATGCAACCTGGCCTTGCTCAGCTGCAGAGATGTCGCAGCTTCAGCTTCTCTCTGCAGCCTGTGCCAGGGCCTCTCCAACCTGACAGGGAAAGATTTCTTCCCAATATCCCATCTCACCCTGCTCCCTGTCTGATTGAAACCATTCACTCTTCTCCTGTCCTTTTCTTATGTCTCTTCTCCTCTGATTGAAGAACCAGTGTCTGTTGTGAAAAAACTCTCAAAATGTGGAAAACCATTTTGGACACCGCAAGAACATCTTATTAGACAACAGGACTGTGCACCTGCCATGTCAGGGGGATAAGCAGGGTTCCCTCTAGTGCCTCTCCTGGCAACACCAGGACAGATGACAAATTCTGTAAACCAGGTGATCCAACAAACCTGTGCCTCCTTCCAATGCCAGCCAAGGTGAAGAAATGCAAGCTGGGTGCAGCCATCACTTGTGAATCCAGTGAGGTTGATGCCAGCCATGCCACTGGGAGAAGTGGCAGTCCTTGCCAGGCAGGAGGGTCTGTGCCATATGCCCAATTTGGCAATTTCCTCTCCAGGTGTTTGGCAGAGCCATCTGGTACCCCACTCTGAGCTGAGGTGCTGGGGATTAGGCAGTGGAACCTGGCATCTCAACCTTTTCTGCTTCAATACTTGGAGATGTGAATTCACAGTGACAAGGTGACAATCATAAAAAATATGGGAGAGGGATTCTGCATGCCCAGCAGAAGCAGAGGCACCACCTGCACACATTTCTGGTGGTGGGTTAACTGGGAGGGTTTTTACAGGGAATCAGAAAAGGTTCCACTTTGTGCCAGAGCAGCAGGTCAGTGCTGGTTTCCAGGGAGCAGGGTCTGTGTCCCTGTGTCCCTGCATGTGTCCCTGTGAATCTGGATGTGTCCAGCAAACCACAGCAGCACAGGGTCCTTACACAAGGTAGGATGACAAAAGGCCCTGGATTGGGAGCCCTTGTCAGAGGCATCAGAAGAGGAAACCAAAGCCTCATTTTCTGTGCTGCAGAGGGAGAAATAGGAAAAGGAACTTTTGGGCTCCCGGTGCCTCCAGCCTGGCCTCTGTGCTCCACTCCTGATACTGCAGGCAGCAGCAGGGAGAAGAATCATTAATTGATTTAAATGTACAGAAAGATGGGAGGATTTACGTGATGCTGCAGAGAAACTGTAGTGGGGACAGTGAGTATGACATAATGCAGACGAAAGGCAAAGCAAACCTTTTGGTTCAGGCAATTATTTTCTCCCTGTCAATCACAAGAATCACCTCTGAGCTCTCTGTATTTCTAGGCTGTCCTCCATGGCATCCCCCACAGCACATCCCTTTAAGGAATGGCTCCTGCTGCAGCTTTTGCAGCTGGGACTGGAGCTGGTACTGTGTAACAAAGCTGAGGATGTTTTAGGGAGGAGGCTTTGCCACTATGTCCACAGTTCCCAGTCCATGTTCTTCATGGCATGGGAGTAGGGTCCAGAGAAAAGAATGGTACCTGGGCCTATAAACACCAGGATAAGGATCCAGTTCCCCAGAGGGAGCATCTGCAGTCAGCTCCACCACAGGCACCCCAGCCAGGCTGGCCCAGCAGGCACTGCCGGGCTGTTGCCTTTATGAAAGACAACCAGGGACCTGGTTCAGGTGGCAGCACGGCGGCCTGGTCTCGCCCAAGCCACTCGGGCTAATCAACAGACGCAGACACCAATATGGCAGACGGTTGAAAAGCGTTTATTATCCTATCTCGTGGGTTTAAATAGCTTTTAGGGGTCTTTGCTACGTCAGAGGGGGGCTGGGGGTCTCAGGGATAGTGGGTAGTGGAAATTTACCAGAACAGGTGTGGCTACATTCTTCTGGGACTCCTGGGGTTAACGGATAAGTGGGGAAGAGAGAGGGGGGGGAGGGGTCTATCTTTCCGTGACATTCCGTGATCTTCCGCTCCGCCTGTCCCTATCTACCACATCTCCCCCCTCCTTATCACATACAAAATGAGGTAGTTGTAGGTAGAGGCACTGGAGTGAGGTACAGACTTGTAACTTGTTAAGGAAAGGGTGGTTTAGTAGATCAGGGTAGATTTTTCAAGGCAGGTGCTGAAGGCTTTATCTACTGACTGTGTTTGCAGTTTTTTGGTTTACAGCATTTGTTGGTGGCCTATGAACAGAATGTTTGCCCTTTCCAGACGGGCTTGAACAAACGAGACTAGTTTGTTCAGCAGGCATGGTCCTATGGTAATAGCCAAAAGCAGTATTGCCAGTGGACCTACCAGGGCAGAAATTAAAGTGGTGAGCCAAGGTGATTGATTGAACCAGGATTCAAACCAGCTCTGCTGGGTCTCCCTGTCTCTCTTTCTCTGAGCCAGTCTGTCTCGGAGTTCTGCCATGGAGTCTTTAACGACTCCCGTATGATCTGCATAAAAGCAGCATTCCTCCTTCAACGCTGCACACAATCCCCCCTGCTGCATAAACAAAAGGTCAAGTCCCCGCCTATTTTGTAAAACTACTTCTGAAAGCGAAGAGACTGATTTCTCTAGATAGGAGATGGATTTCTCGATCCTCTGCAGGTCTTCGTCGATGGTCATTTGCAGCTGGGAGAGTCCGTGTTGCTGGGTTGCGATGGCTGAGACGCCCGTGGCTGTGCTAGCTGCTCTCAGGCTAAGCAGCATTGCGATGGTTAATTTCTTTTTGTGGAGTTTGTCAGGTTTTTCGAGAAGGTGGTATGTCTTTTCGTCTGAGTGATGCAGGACCTTAGAAACAATCAGAACTTGAACACAGAAATTGATAGAGTTATTAAACTTGGCAAGGAACATATAAGGATTCACTCTGGGTTTGTGGCAGACTTACATCTCAAATGTGGATGGGACTACTTATTTATTGGTCTTCTGTGGGGAGTGTCTTACTTGCACTGGTGGGGGGTACTGGCTGTGGAGTAACTGAAGGGGGTATCTAAAGCATTGCTTTCGTAGAAAAGGGGGTTTAATATCATAGTAAAACTAATATGGGTTAGTTAGGTTTGATTTGGTTTCATTTGGGGTTAGTAAGGTAGCTTCTAAACAGGCTGGCTATGTGGAACACGAAGGATGGGGTATTTATTATGGTGACTTTTTTGAGCACCTTGTTACTTGTTGCACGACTCACTTAAATAGCTGATGAGGGTAGTGGCCTGGGCTAGCTTGTTTCCTTGGCTACAAGCCTGTAACAGTAAAATTGCATGAAGAAAGACACTGTGCATGTTTGGATCTCACCACCGTGGGATTTTCAGGTGTTGTCTGGCAGTTTGGTGGTCTGTCATCTCTTTCTGGAGCAGGGGTGTTTGTGTCACGGAGACGGTCCACAAGCATGTCCTGCAAACAGAACTCATAGCTTCTTATTAGTTTTGTTTTGAGGGTCAGGTTCGGTTGGTAGCAGTGGTGTGCAGCAGTGGCTCTCATAGTCTCACCATGTGGGGGTCCCGGCTGCCACAGAGGCAGCACGTCCCCTACATCCCCGGGGGCTTTCTCCCCACTTTCATAGCTAGGGCTACCCCGGGGTCCCGTATCGGGGGCGTCTCTTGCTGACCCTGCGGCACAGGCGCCGCTTGCGGTGGGAGGAGGCTGGGTTCGCCCGCGCGCGCCCCCCCCCCCCCGGCGCTCTCCCCCCCCCGCCCCTCGTGTGTCCGGGGGTTGGGACCTGTATTCTTTGGCGAGATGCTCTTTTCTGCCGCAGCTCGAAGGGGTATTGTGACTGCTTTTCAGTGCGGCTTAGAACTCTATTTGGTTTTGTTTTAAACTGTGCTGGTTCCGTATCTTTTGTTTCGGAGTTCCGGCTGGCCCCCGCCGGCTCGGAGCCGGTAGAGCTGTTGCTAGGCTCCGCGCCGGAAATTAAATGCCAGGGCACTTCCGGGGCTCCGCGCTGTTTTGTTCGGCCCCGGGCTCGCTCCACCCTGCGGGGGTGGCGCCGCTCCCGCCCCCCCGGCTCGCCGCGCCCCCCGCGGGGGGTGGTTTCTCCCTTATATGGTGGCGGCGCCTGGCGCGGCCGCTGATTGGCTCTGTGCCCCGAGCCGCTCTCCGCCCCTTTCTCCCGCGCGCGCGCGCCCCTGAAATCACGCGGTTTTTGAGTTTTTGCGCCGAGACTACTCGTGCCCCGCCCCCCTCCGCGGCACCCGGCGCCATTTTCAAAGCGACCGCATGGCCGCGCGGCCGGGGACTCACCCCGAGCCGCGGCCCCTGGGACTCCGGTCTCTCCCGCCGGCTCTTGCCAAAAGCGCCCCGCGCGCAGCTGCGCCTCTGACAGCGGATTTCTGACCGGCGGCGGCGGCGGGACGGATTGGCAAGCCGCGGTTTCTCGGGGCTTTTTTGCGGCGGGGGTTCCCCGGGGGTTTTCCGCGGCGGGGGTGTCCCGGGGGGCTTCTGCGGCGGGGCTTGGTGCCGCTCCGCTCGGCGCGCCGGCGGGGAAGCGGCGCGGAGCCGCGGGCGGGTTTGGGTTCCGGCGGGAGCGGAGTCGCGCTGCTCGGAGCGCGCCCCGGCGGGATCGGGGCCGCGCCGCTCGAAACGCGCCGCTCCGGGGGCTGTGCTGCCTCTGCCGGGCTGGGCTGGGCTCAGCTCTGCGGCGGGGCCGGGCTGCGCTCTGATCCGGGGAAGGGGGTGCCGCGCTGAGCCCTCCCGGGTCTTCGCTCCCGGGTGGACTCTCCTCAGG